AAGGTTGGCTCCCTCCTGGCTCCAATTAGCTCTTGGAGACGTCATTAGGCTAGGGGCTCACATACTTTTTCCTCCCTGCTCTGTGAATGTTTACATGTTATGTTCAATTAAACCATGGCAACATGTAATGTTTGTGTATTATTATTTTCAGCAGACTGTGTTTTTCTATTGTTGTGACTTAGATGACGTTCAGAGCACAATTTATGACCAATTCATGCAAAACTCCGCGTTATCCCAAGGGGTTCACATACTTTTTCTTGCAACTGTATATATACACAAACATAACCACATTAAATCACAGTCAAAACACAGGCTATAACTAAAAGATGGGGAGCAGAATGTAGAGGAGGAGATGGGAATTTGCTATTGGTGTGAGGTGTGTGTGTGTGTGTGTGTGTGTGTGTGAGGGGGTGTACAGACACACACACATTAAATACAGTAAAAATACAGGGTATAATTAAAAGATGGGGAGCAGAATGTAGAGGAGATGGGAATTTGCTATTGGTGTGTGAGTAAAATCACAGTAAAAATGCAGGCTATATAGATCTTATCTGTTGGGTGAAGCACCCGGTCTACCAAATATAAATCAGTCTGTCTCCCTTTAACTTTTTATCAGCCACAAAATTTTGAAGATATACACACACACAAACACACACATATATATACATGCATACACATACATATGTACACATACATATTATATATACATACATATATACGTATATATACACACACACACACACACGTACACAAACCACAGTACAATCCCAGGGAGGGAGCAGAATGTCTAGAGAGGGGAGATGGGATAAAAGCCCATCAACAACAACTATTATTACAGTTATTAATAGCAAGACTCTGCGTGTGGATTCAGGCTCCCTTTGGCCGGCTTCCCCTAATTTCCCTCCGCTGCAACAACAACAACCCTGCGAGGTAGGCCGGCCTGGCTGAGCGGCCAGAGGCTCTCCGGGTGCTGGAACCGACCTGGGCGTGGAGGCGGCGGGGGAGGCGGCGGCGGCGAGGCCCAGTGCCAGGGCCCGGGCGGTCCCGGCGGCCAGTGCCCGGGGGCGCCCCAGGCTGGAAAGGGAGGCGGCGGCGGCGGCGGGGCAGCGGGCGGAGGATACCAGAGATCCATGGCTCGGCTGGGCCGCACGTGCGACGCTCCGGCCGCGCGCGTCGCCCCGGCGAGGGCGTCACTTCCGGCGCTCCCATGGTGACGTTCCCCGCAAAGCGCCGAAAGTCGCTTGAACAGACAGGCCGGAAGGGCGCGCGGGGGGAGCGTACTGCGCAGGCGCGGCAGGGCTCTCGTTGGCATCATGGCGTCCAGAGATCTTATCGGGCCGGCGCTGCCCCCGAATTTAGCCGCCGCCGCGGTTGACTCCGGGCCGGGTAAGAAGAAGGAGGAGTCCCTCGCTCCGGAGGGAGAAGGAGCCCGCCCGGGGCCTCTCTTGGCGCCCGGCTGAGCTAATCTGGGAGGGAGGGAGGGAGGGAGGGGGCGGAGGGTCAACGGAAAGAAAGGCCCTCCTTTGGTAGTTCGGGGCTCCCCTTGGCTGGTCCCAACAACACGAGCCAGGCCAGCTTATGAGAGGTTTGGGTTGCTTTACATCAGTGTTTCTCAACCTTGACAATTTTAAGGCATGTGGACTTCAACTCCCAGAATTCCACAGCCAGCATTCCACATGCCTTAAAATTGTCAAGGTTGAGAAACACTGCTTTAGATGTAATTCAAGGCAAGCACATCTAATGGTTCCTTTACTTCTTTTTCACACCACAACAACCCGGTGAGGTGGGACGCACTGAGAGAGAGGGTCAGGCCCAGAGTCCCCCAGCTGGCTTTCATGGCTAAGGCGGGACTAGAACTCACAGTCTCCTGATGATTGGTCCAAAGTCTCCCAATCGGCTTTCATGGCTAAGGCGGGACTAGAACTCACAGTCTCCTGATGATTGGTCCAAAGTCCCCCAGCTGGCTTTCATGGCTAAGGCGGGACTAGAACTCACAGTCTCCTGATGATTGGTCCAAAGTCTCCCAATCGGCTTTCATGGCTAAGGCGGGACTAGAACTCACAGTCTCCTGATGATTGGTCCAAAGTCCCCCAGCTGGCTTTCATGGCTAAGGCGGGACTAGAACTCACAGTCTTCTAGTGATTGGTCCAAAGTCACCCAGCTGGCTTTCATGGCTAAGGCGGGACTAGAACTCAAAGTCTCCTGATGATTGGTCCAAAGTCACCCAACTGGCTTTCATGGCTAAGGCAGGACTAGAACTCACAGTCTCCTGGTGATTGGCCCAAAGTCACCCAGCTGGCTTTCATGGCTAAGGCGGGACTAGAACTCAAAGTCTCCTGGTGATTGGTCCAAAGTCACCCAGCTGGCTTTCATGGCTAAGGCGGGACTAGAACTCACAGTCTCCTGGTGATTGGTCCAAAGTCACCCAGCTGGCTTTCATAGCTAAGGCAGGACTAGAACTCTCCGTCTCCTGGTAATTGGCCCAAAGTCTCCCAATCGGCTTTCATGCCTAAGGTGGAACTAGAACTCCCCATCTCCTGATGATTGGCCCAAAGTCACCCATCTAGCTTTCATGGCCCAGGCGGGACTAGAACTCCCAGTCTCCTGGTTTTAAGGCCTAACATTTTCACCACTACACCCAAGTGGCCAGGTGGGAGACTATTAGGAAATCCAGGCTAGTCTGAAAAAAAAGGGGGGAAATAGTGTCAAACCTCTTCTGTTAAAGTCTTCTCCTTTCCTCCTCCTCACAACAACCCTGTGAGGTGGGCTAGGCTTAGAGAGGGGGATCCCCAAAGCCAGTCAGCTGGTTTGTGTACCTAAGAGGGGATTAGAACTCACTGCCTCCTAGTTTGTAGGTCAGCACCCTAATTGTTATACCAAACACTCAACAGGCACTCAACTCAGTTTTGAGGGATCTGGTACAAAACCAACACTTTTGATATCTGGAAAAAATGTCTTTTTATTAGACCTTTGGAAACAATAAAAGGCAAGTAGCAAGAAATAACTAAATGCAACTGCAGTGTAATTTCCCTTTCTCAACACAATGTCCTAGAAACAAAGAGCAGACAACAAATATGTGTCGAGTGCAAATTTGACTTTTTTTTACCCCGTATCTCTAGCTGCATTTGATTAATTATTAAATTTTAGGAGTCTATGTCAATCTATTGTACCAAAAAGCAAAAAAACCCCCCAAAAACATAAATTGTGGGTATCTTAAATTGTACTTTAACAAATCAGTTAGCCAAAGATCAGAGTAGATTATAGATCAGCGCTGACTTAAAACAGCGTGCCTAATCTTATTCTTATTTCCTAGAAAAAACAAATAGTTGAATAAGTTCATTCAAAAACAAAGAAAGCAATATTCATGTGAAATACATTGTGATACAAAAATGTTTAGTTGCAGGACCGGCACTGCCTCCTGACTACAAGGAAAACTCTAAATACTTTGATACTGGGGAGAAATGTGTCTCTGCTCAGATGCCCAAAGAAACAGATTTGGATTCTGAAGAGGATAAAGATTTGAGTCCAGTTCCCAGGTTAGTGAATCGGCTTGAAAGTATGGAATTGTTTTAAGGGGCAGTTGATGTCAGTGTGTGAGTGATAGCTAGGTTTTGTGTTCTATTGCTCCTGATGCCAGTATGCCTTAGGGCAGGAGTAGGCAACCTTGGCTCTTTTATGACTGGTGGACTTCAACTCCCAGAATTCCTGAGCCAGCCATGCTGAGGGAAAAGGGAGAGGTTTCCAAGCTGAGCCATGCTGGCTCAAGAATTCTGGGAGTTGAAGTCCACGAGTCATAAAAGAGCCAAGGTTGCCTATCCCTGCCTTAGGGGGACCCATTAACACTTATAAACTTTGCACAATTATGGCACCTGTTCCCACAAATACATGCAGCCTCTTCTTTATTGGCCTGTCTCTTTCTCAAACAGAAACATGAAAATTAGGGTGCTTTCGTTGTTTTTTTTCTTCCAGCAAAGGGATGAAATCTGTTGGGAGAAGAAAAACTCTCCCACAAACACATCTACCTGACACATAACATCTGGCAACAGATGTTAAAGTTGGGAAAGCAACCGGATGGAATGCGAAGTAGATGCTTCTGGATTATTGTCCAGAACGAGCCAAATACAAACTGCCAGTGAGCATGTTGTAAATAATGTTCTCACAACAAGGAGGCACAACTTTCAGAACAGGACCTTGTCTCAGTTGACAACTCAAAACAGGTTTCTCTCAAAGATTCTTCCTGAACAGAGAGACATGACATCTTCCCAGGCATACAAGTATATATATATATATATATTACTTGTATATAATATATATATATTATATATATATTACTTGTATATATAATATATATATATATATATTAATCACTGCCGTGTATCTATTCATTATTCATGCTTGCATCATTACACTTTGGCTAGAGTTGATCCATATACTGTAGTATATATATGTAAGGATCAACTCTAGCCAAAGTGTAATGATGCAAGCATGAATAATGAATAGATACACGCCAGTGATTAAATGACAGGAGCTGGAATCATTTAGACTTATAAGAAATGTTGTTTGCCCTTCATATATTTTTTTTTTTTACCAAATGACTCACTTGTGCCTGTAATGCTGCTGTATGCTTAACAGTAAAAGGGCCTAAATAAACAAGCATGGATCAGGGCTTTTATTGCCCAGAATCCCTCCCTATTGAATATTCAGTGGCCAGCAAGTAATTTTATCCCATTTGGGAATAGAACTAATATAATAATAATAATATATCAGTTATAATAATAAGCATTCACAGCTTCTGGAGGCCGGTTGTTGCACTGGTTAATTGTTCTA